AGTAAATTGGAGATTAAGATCATGACAAACAATGTACACCAGTAGGTTTAGTTAAATATGGCATGTAATTCATGGCATTAAGACTACCGTAAATATTAGTACCCGGTACCATTTTTTTTTACATGCATATGTATTAGCATTATCTATGTGTATAATCACTCGTGGATATTCAACTGGAAGGCATTACAAATATGCATTTCATCAGTTTTTTTGTACTCTATAAACTACAAACCAGAACAATTTGTATAACTGGTAAAGTTGTATTGTTGGAAACGTTTTGTTTGAAGTGATATAATTCATGATATAATAAATATTATTTGCAAGATATCTGCATCAGAAGTTTATTGCCAACAGCGGGACATCATCATAGATTCAGTTGGGTTTAAATTTTTGCCGTCTGGGGCATTACTGAATCACACACACAAAAGCTCCCTTCCCTATAAATTTATAGGACAACTATTTTACCTGATGTGTGTCTAAATAGTTGGTACCCCGGTATGTCCAACCAGGAATCAGGGAGATTGTGGGTTTGACTCCCATAGAGTACATACATGTACTGCCCACTTGTCAAGGGAGGGAATGTAAAGCTGTCGGCCTCATGTGATGTTTCTGTCCTCAGTGCAGGTAAAAAAAAAATCACAATATCCTTTTTGCAACTAGTAGGATTGCCGAGGGATGACTAGAACTTATCCGGAGACTAGATAGGCAGCATCAGGTTTCTCGACTCTCAAAACGTTATGATGAGCACATATTTTATCTTAACATTAATGTGCACATCAAGAGTGCCCCAATGGTCTTATAGAGTTAGTGTGCATTGCCACTATGTCCTTCCTGGATTAGTTAAGCATGTACTTGAGGCAAATGCATGACAGGACTTATTGTAGTGGAAACAATTATTTCAGTCAATGAACGGCGTAATATGTCCAGTTTGGGTCAGTATAGCTCAAAAAATACTGTAATAATCATTTTTTATTTTTTACCATGTTACTTGAAATGGTTTTTTGCTGACAATACAAATTAATCTTTAATTTTAGGCTTTTCAAATTTACAAGATGCTGCTGGAACACATACAAACCTGTGTGAAGAACAATGTGTGAGAAAGCACATTTTTGGTGTGAACCATACAAGAAATGAAACATTTTAATTCCCATCATTCCTGCTATTTATAGAAATATAATAATAAAATATGCCAGCAAGACGAAGCTTGATTATTTATATAATAATGTAAATGGCTTTGAATATAACTGTAACCTCAACATTTAAAAGCATAATTACATAATCTAATCCACTAACAGACTCTGTAAAACTATTCGCAAAGTGTGAACAATTATACGAGTATTAAAAAAATGTGCTGTGATCAGCACAAAATACATATTGAACCCTGAATCCACTGACTGAGTCAGTATAATTTTGAAAAAATTATGTACTCTATACTACATACATATGAAGTAGTGAGCCACACACACACACGAATAGTTTTTGTTGGCAGCTGAATGCACAATATATTGATATAAAAAAACATGACCTCCTGATATATTAATTTTAACGCATTTATATGAATTCAAAAATAGGCTTTATTTTTACACTGAATTCTAATTTCCTGAATTTATGAGACCAACCTCATTTTGAGCTAAACAATCTATTATAAAGATGATTGCTCAATAATTTTTTATTGTGATTTAGTCACTAAAATCAGAATACCAAAATGCTAGCTTGACACAACAAACTCATCATTTTTAAAATGTCACATTTCAAACTGAAACAATATTGTTCTATTGGTCGATATCAAAACATTTTTGAATAACATGCGCACTGCACTTATCGATTTGCTGATTGGATTCAACTGCCATTAAAATTTATAATTATATATTAAAATGAAGGAAATAGGTTTACTGTGTTAGTACAAGAATTTATCATCAAAGTTAAACGCTGGAAAGCTACCATGTGATTACAGAGTATATGCAATCATCATTGTCTTATAAAAAATATCTAGGAAATGAAAATTGCCAGGAGTTAGTGAAGAAGCAATGGCATTAAAGGTTAGGTGATTTTACACATGCTGAAATGAGACAATATGCAAATTAACTAGGCCCCAAAACTAATCATGTCTGCGTATCACCCCAAGGTAGATACATAATAAATTTGATTAAAATCTGGGAAGGTGTTTTTGCTCACACAGGCTGAATTGAGATAATTAAATATGTAAATAGGCTACTTAATATGCATGGAAATGGCCCCAAAACTAAACATGTCTGTGCATTATCCAAAGGTATCTATGTACTAAATTAGATCAAGATCTGCTCTGAATTTGTTGAGATTTTGCATACACATACACACATACATACCAAACTCAATACCAACCGGTACATTGTTTGCTAAAATTGAGACTGACTGATAGATTATTGTTAGATTACAGAACACTAACTCGATCCTATAAATTAACTGCATAATAAATATATATTTATTTTCACCCGACACCTATTATTGAATTCAATTTAAATACTAGGCTGAATAATAACAATACTGATGAATACCAAAATATAAGCCAAATCATAGCCAAACCATTTTCTGTTTAATTAAGTATAGAAATTGTCAACAAGCTTAGTTGATTTGAGGCAAGGTCACTATGGTACAACTATGGTTGTCTACAATATAACACAACTGGTAAGTCATAGCATGTTTATAAATTCCTTAGCAAAGTTAGAAAGCAATTTCGTTTGCAGTTCTTCACCACCACCCCAGTAGTCAGTTCATATACATGCATACATATCTATGATCGTGTACACATACTGCCTTCTCAAAACTTGAACACAGATGGCTACGATTTTCTAACAGACTACAAGACTGAGCATCATGCGAACGTTTCGCATCCTGCAATTACAATGTCAGAATTCAAGCTGCCGAAAATTACAATATCTACTTTTTTTTCATCTTTTATGCCGTTTTTTGAAAACAAATACAAACATGTTCAAAAAAAAAAGTAATAGCCTCTGTCGTATCCTATAGAAGAAATGTTGCATCTGTATAAAGATAGTCCTTTAAAAAGGCACTCAAAATAGTTAGCAAGGTATTGAGAAAACAATACAATTCTTCATCATTTAGATTTAAAATTGGTTCCAAATATCATGAGATGCAAGATAAAGTCATTTTGAAATGAGAATTGTTATCGTTACTTCCTGCTGTATTAACCAAACACAGCACCACAGTTAGGACATCTTCTTTGTCGCATTGCAAGACAGCAGAGGATACCAATTGGGAAAAATATTATTGCGCAGCAGACGCCCAAACATGTGAAGTCATCTTCTAAGACACCTACTCTGCAAGCAGGGCATCCACCCACCACTACAACCCTGGTTGCCTGGGGCACAGGTTGTACTGTCACTGTGGTTTGTGAATATGATGTTGGTGGATGTTGAACTGGATGATAACCTGGTGGAGCACCTCCTGGATATGTAGGTGGGGCACCAGCTTGATACCCTGTTTCAAAAAAAGATAAAAAATTAATTGTGTACTACTGTAAATGCAGTGTACATTAGGTTTTAATCAACAGACTGTGTACTAAACTACTTTGACTCCCAATCTACAATCAAAGAAAGCTCAAGAAAGAACTCCCTGTGCTGAAAATATTGGAGATCTACTAAAAATTCAATTAAAATTTAAGATTAGCATTTCATACAAGAAGCTTGGCAACTCATATTTGTCTGCTATACAACAAATACATTTTAATTTACATCTGCGGTTTGCAGTCTAATTAATTATATTAATTTTTTTGAAATATCAGAAAAGGGCTAATAATAATTAGATAATTAATATGCATGTTTTTCAACATTAAACTAACCATGTCTATGGACTACCCCGATAAACCAAATGAACTGTTATGCAAATGAAGCAAGTATTATGCATAGACTTAGGTATGTGTATTGTTCCAGGGTGCAAATGTACCAAGTTTCATTATAATGTGATGATTAATCCTAAAACAATTGGTGGCTAGCTGAAAAGTAAATTAGGTAATTATTATGGATGCATATAGACCAAAACTAATTCACATTGTGTTAGAGTATATAAGTACCAAGCATCTATGTATAAATTTCATTAAAATGTGATTGTGTAAATTAAGTTGATAATGTGATCTGATTTTAATACTGAATACTATATACTATGTGTTTTAATTTCATCGAAAATTGACTAATCACTAAACAAATTATGTAATTAATATGCATGGATTTTTACCCCAAACCAATTGAATCTGTGCATTAGACTAGAGCATCTATGTGCCAAGTTTCTTTAAAATCTAACGAGTGGTTCTTTAGATATCAGTGGAACAGTCATTGAACAGCTAAAAATTAGCGAATTATCATGCAAATTAGGTTATTATATGCACAGAGTTCTGATCAAATTTGTGCATTAGCCCAGAGCACCTATGCATCAAGTTTCATCCACAACCAACATAGTTCTTGAGATATCAGTGGAACGAACGGACAGACAGACACACACACACACACTAATCGCACACACACAAGTCAAAAATGGTTGCCAGTCTCCTAATTTTGAAACAAGTTTATACCAAAACACCCACGATGTAGAACATTCACACCAATTTTGTCTAATGTTTCAGACTAGGCGCTCTTTTCTTTTCATAAATGACTGCCAGTTTTCAAAGTCTGATTAACTACCTATGACCAATCACATCTTATTTTACTGTTACTAAGGCCTACTCTAATTTGTTGACAAATCTTGTATGATGAGAGGTGGCTGAATGCTCAAGATAAGACTTAGTTTTGAGATGATGCACACCGGAGAACAGAATTAAAATCAGCCAAAGCATCTCCATACATAAGATTTTGATCTGATCAATATGATATGACCAGTATTCACCTATTTACTGTATGATGTGTATGGAAACAACTCCTTTACAATACTGTAAAAACAGCTTTAATTTTTAGAAGGAATAAATTTTCACAAAATATTTTTTTTTATTAGAAATGGTAAAAAAACAAAAGACATTCCATGGCAATCACCTTTGCTTTGTGTGTTGAAACACATGTGCCAGTCAATATGACAATCCCATTATTTTACAATAGTGAATGTCAAGATGATGACTTTGTCTTTACCTACAGGGGGACCTTGAGATAAAACCTAGAAGGCGTCTGTCGGAACACTTGCCAATAACAAATATGCATTGTCTATGATTCTTTCGTTATGTGTCAGGTGCCTTATCTAAAAAATAACATCTTTATTCAAGGGGTGGATACATTTATCAGTTGATAACAATCTGATAACGGGCAGTTTCATTCATCAAGCAATTTTGTGAAGAAGTGGTTAGAGTTCATCTCATGTTGTTTTGCTCCTGTCCTTGCAAAATGGTAGTCAGTGTACCGCGTGTCTTTTCCTAGTATAATGGAATTGTTGATCATTTGTTTTTCACAATCAATTCACAATACTAATGCAAGTCTGTGAAAAATATTGTTCAGCATTTTGCCCCAGATTGTTGTTGTATTCTATTGTCCTTGCATATTCAACAAGTGTGCATTACATGCTTTCTATGGATTTTGAATACAATCAACCTTCCTGAGCCTGGTGTTCTGTAATGCCATTGGTCAGGAATAAATTTGAATAAAATATGGTGTCTGTATTTTCAGTGTGTCCTCTAAGCCAATATGACGCGCCACTGACATACATGGATTTGCTGTGATGCAACTAGTGTTAATTAAAGGGTGGTAGTTGTCGCTCCACACATGCGCGAGATATATGGGTCTCATATAAACAAAGATGGTGATTGTGGCTGATGCGCAGATCAACGAGTACAAACTAAGACGTTACCAAGCTTTAATTAGTTGCACCGAGGTCGACCTCATACTTGTGATTTCCAATAGGACAGCGCTTGGGATTGTGGAAAAATCTATGTTTATCAACACAAATGTCACACATGCGCAGCACAACGACCACCGCCTTTTAAACTGAGCATCACTGACACATAAAAAAAAAAACATGCATTGATACAGTGATCTTGGAAAACATCATACTATACTTACAGTATTTGTTACTTTGTAAAATGAAATTAATATTTTATAATCAAAATAAGTGTATAAACAAAGAAAATCAGGCCACAACATTTGGTTTGTTCCTCAAGTCAGTTATATACATACAACTTTATTTTTTCTAAACCGATCTCCCAGTCAATAAGCTGACTCAACTTGATTTCATTTTGACTCAGGATCCCTACAAAATCAGTCTTGTTTAGAGGACACTTTATATCATCGTACTTTTTGATATTAAGGTTGCAAGCTTAACCTTACAAGTATCTTAAAAATCTTTGCTACGGTACTATCTATCTTGGTCTATACATAGCTGTAGTTTTGCTATATGGTATTTAACCATTTGAGTCTTGTGCCGGGAACCTGTACAACTAGTTGTAACAGGAACTGGTATAAAACACGATTCAGCCAAAAATACCTATTTTAAGTATCAATTTCCCACAATCAGCAAGGCACTTTTTATCAAAAATCTTCAAATCTTCAAATTAATCTCATTATTATGCATTTACAGTGTTTTATATTCAAATAAATCTTCCAGTAAATTGTTTAGGTGTGAACAAATTAGGTTAAGTTATGTTCAGATATGTTTAAAATGTTCAGATCGACCCAAGCAATATTATGTCATGCAATCGAAACTAAAACGTCTGAATTATGCGTTCTAATAAAATATCGGCTTAAGTTGAAGGAGTAGAAAGCCCGGAAAAATCGAAAGTCAACCAAAAATTGGTAGACGTGCTGAGTGGCTCGACACATAATTGTACATCAATCATGACAGAGAATGTAACTTACCATCATAGGCGCCCGGTGGTGGATTCGGTCCCGCCGTGTACGCTGGCGGTTTGTCTGTATAGTGAGCCATGCCAATGAAAGTTGACTGAGAATCAGTTTAGAGTAACTAACACCGAACGACACAATCAGTGACACTGTCAACACGAAACTTTTCACAAGTCGTGTTTTGTTGAGCTAGCTCCAAAATGTCAGTTGTACAAATTCTATGAAGACCGTTGCCCGGTTACAGTGTCTAATACCGTGTCTGGCAATACAGAAGCTTAATAAAATGGTAATATTCAGAACATCACATGCCTTAATACAATATCAGCGATTTACAGCAGGAAATAAAATGCTGGTTCTTTTCTATGACGTCATGGGGTCATGCGACTCGGAGTCATGTGACTTTGGGGTGATCTCCCATGACTCTTAGCGAATCGTACGCCATATGATATGGCGTACACATTCTCCTTCCCAGAGTTCCTTGCGGTTAAACCACGTGTGGTTCCCGTAGTCACTTGAGAAAAATAAACCAGCGAAACCAGTGTGATATCAGATGGCATTGGAACTTGCTCTATTATTTGCTAGCTGGTCCCGGAGCTTGCTGGTGCATTTTCCCCTAAATTCGTTATTTCTCAACGTAAAACTTATTTATTTCTCAGACAAGTAATATATTGGCGATCCGCTCCGCTAGGATTGCCCTTATAAACACTTTTGTTGGCGATCCGCTCCGCTAGGATTGCCCTTATAATCACTTTTGTCGTTTTGTGTGTGTGTGTGTCTGTGTGTGTACATTTCCAGTGTTTTCACGTATGATTTCTTCTGTGATTTTTTTGGCTTGGCCGATTTCTTTCAAACTTGGCAGGTAGGTCACACCTCCACCTAGCCGTGGTTTCGCGGCGTTTTGGGTCCGGGAAGATATTTTGCTTCGTCTGTCAGTTATATATACATCGTCGGTATACAGTCGGACCCTAACGCCGCGGGTCCAACTGTGGAGCAAAATGGTAAAAATGGCAAATGACACTACCGACCTATATAACTGGTCGGAAAACAACAAAAATATACAGATTTCCCTCAAGTAAAATACCTCCACGGGTAAACTAAATCATAATGTTCCCTCGACAGAAATCTGGGTTCGTTATTTCTTCGTTGTAGTTTATTTTTCAACCATTTCTCACGATTTCTGCAACCTCAGTTAGCGACAACGCCGCCATCTTGAAAACTACGAGAGTAAAGCCAAGTCTCGCAAAACGATCACGTGACTTCAAGATATCAACAAATCCACGTGTTTCTCTGGTTACGAAGACGAATACGGCGCTTAGAGCCAGGAAAGGATTTAAATAACAATGAAAAAAGTAGTTACACTGAAAATATATTAATAACATTTGGCACAAACTGTTGCCTGTATGCAGCAGAGTTTGATTCGAGACTCCATTAGCACGCTACTAACGGCAAT